GCCCGGGGTGGCCGCGGCGGTCCCCGGCCTCTCGGCCCCGCTGTCTGCCGGGGCCTGGCGGTCGCCGTCAGGCGTGGGTGCCCCGGCGTGTCTCCGGGGGTCCCGTCGTGGCCCGGTGGTGCTGGGCTGGATCCTTCTAAAAAGTAACGCTCAGGGGAGCTGGGGCTTCGGAAGGGGCCGGTGCGGGAGAACTCCGGGTTCCTGGGCGGTTTTCGTTGCTCGGATACGCGTGGATTTGTACGCGGAGGGGAGCGAGCTGCTGAAAAAGTGTACGTGTGTTTTGAAAGCAGTTCTTGATGTCCCACCCCCGAGGACGCCTTCAGCACGTGGTGGTACGCTTTGCGTAATTTAAGCGAGAAGAAGGTATCCCTCTGAGCGTAAAGCAGCCGATACAATCACCTTGAAGCTCGGTTTTTCTGAGAGAAATAGGCCTGGTGAATGGAAGAGGTTTCCCTTCACCAGGATTACTCCTAAGGTGCAGAAACCACTGTACCGTAACTAGCAAGGTTGTGGAGATCTGCAGAAACGTCACCCGTGTCCTGACTGACACTTTTGCTGTTGTGATTATTTTTAACTGGACATAAGGCTTTAAAGACAGAAGCAACTGCTTAACGACTAACTTCAGCAAATTGTAAAGTGACAGAGGAGCTTGTAAACACTGAAGGAGGTATAGTTTGGCTTTTATTAAAGTGGCTATCCCACAGCCTTGCTGGGGACTATTTTGTGTCATTTGTACAGAGCCAAGTCAACGTCTTTAAATGTAGAACTGCACGTTTTCTTATTTCTTTCTGGTCCAAGTACTAAACTACTCTGCTCTGCAAGCACCAAAATTGAACGTAGTTTTAAAACAGCTTCAAGTTCCAAAGCTCGAGTAGTATACTAAAATTGAGCATATCTTCTTCTTAAGATATAGTCTCTTTGGTCCATTAGCTCATCTTAATGTGTTTACGTGCTGTCTTAATGGAGCGTCTTCTTTGTGATAGTGCTTTTGGGAATCAATGCAATAATATGGTTAGAGGGTGCTGATAGCAGAAGTGAAGAACTATGTGGCGAGATCTCAAATCCTAAAAAACTTATGCAATTTAAGCCTGTAAGTGCACATACTTTCCCTGATGAACATCTCTGCCTCCAACTCTCAAGGGAGACACAAGCAATAGATTTAGGCATGATGCAGTGCAGAGCGGTTATCAGTGAGGATGTTTCCCCAAAGCTTGTGTTGCGCACGAATGTGAACACACTGCACAGGCACGGTGAACACGCTGTACTG